TAAAAGTACAAGTATATGATGTACACCTTGAGGATACCTCCTTAGTAATCCCTTTCAATCCTTACCTTGATAATATCACTCCGGTACGTACAATGACTGGGCTTAACTTTCCCTGGGGAGTTGCTGTAAGTGATGGTAATCATTTTATAATAGCTGAATGGAATGGTAGCTGTGTAACAATACTGGATAATGAAGGAAAGAAAGTGAAATCAATAGGAGGGGAAGGAGGAAGTAGTAATAACAAGTTTTCTTGCCCTTGTGGTGTAGCCATTACTCCAGACAAATTCATTCTTGTATCTGATAAGCACAGGATCCAGAAGATAAGCATGGATGGATACCTTATAGCATCAGTTGGTGAGGAGGGCAGTGAACTATTACAATTCAATTCTCCTCATGGTATATCCATTTTTCCTATAACAGGACAGGTATATATTGCTGATGCAAATAATCATCGTATACAAGTCTTGAGTCCTGATCTAACCTTCTCTCATTCATTTGGTAGTAGAGGATCAGCTAATGGACAGTTTCAGTCTCCATATGACATAGCTATTGACAATCAAGGATTAGTGTATGTTGCTGATAGTGATAATCATCGCATTCAAAAGTTCTCTCCAGATGGAAAGTTTGTGGGTCAGTTTGGTACTTATGGATCTGGTCCTGGTCAGCTTAAAAAGTCAAATAATATAGCAATAGACACTGCAGCTAATGGTCTAGTGTATGTTAGTGAATGGGGCAATGCTCGTATATCAGTCTTCACAAGTGATGGTGTGTTTGTTAGCTGTTTTGGAAGTGAAGGCAGAAATGTTGATCAATTTAGCTATCCTTTTGGATTAGCATTTAACAAAAATGGATTCTTGTGTGTTTGTGATACTTCTAATGGGCGTCTTGTTGTTTATTAATTTTGTTGTTCATTAAATATTTGTAATAATTATTTCAATAACACAAATCAGCTCATGCATGCAATTTGGCTTTCGCAAAAATTTTAAACATAATGATTTATGATTAAATTCACTCATCAGATATCAGTTACTTATACTGCCTAGTAAAAATGATATACTCTTGGAAATGTTGGCCACAATAAACTCGCTATACAATAATTATCAATAATATACATGTATTGCTTTTAAAAGTAACTAATGAATTTTCCTTTCCATTTTTTGTACTATCCTTCCTCCTTTCTCTCTCTCTCTCTCTTTTACAGTATCCTAGTGTATCTTGGTCATCTTAATCTACAGTACTATACCTCTGATCTTTTCTGGAAGAACTTGAGACTAGAGGGTCAACCCATCAACATCTTAGAACACCGGGTACGTCACAGAATCACACCCTATTTGACCGTGCCTACTTTCTAGGACGCCTCCAGTTTTTTCTCAAGCTTAACTGATCAAATAGACAAGACTCATAAAGTGGGTGTGGCTAGTTATTAAAAGTTATTAATAATTCTGTTACTAGAAAAGAAGTCACAGTTAAGTGTTTGAGGAGATTTGGTAGACAGTTGTCGGACCAAATCATAAGTCACTGCTGTGAACACAAGTGCTTATTATCTGCCATTTTACATGTACATGTAATGTAATGTAGATGTGCATGTAAATTATCATGTGTGCATATGTACAATGTACATGTACTTATGAATAAATTTTGTCATTGCTTTGTTCTATTTATTTTTACTCATTTTTAATTCTTTATCTTTCATTCTTTCCCCCCCCCTCCCACCCGCCTCTTTCTCCTCTTTTTGCTCCTCTCTCTCTCTCTCTTCCTCTAGAAGTTCAAGAAGCAGCAAGGTTTGACATCTCTCCAGCTCTCAGTGTTGCAGTCTAAGAGTCTCACTGAGAGTCTCCAGGAATTTGTGCAAGAAATGTTAGAATTAGTGAATATAAGAGAGATTACAATGACAGGGGTAGTCCTTGGTAAAGGAGGATGGGGAGAGGTCAAAGTGGCTGATTTTCGTGGTCTGAAGGTTGCTGCAAAGTGTCTCTATGAAATCATTATCTCTCCTCATAACATTATGAAATTCTCTCATGAAATGAATATTGCTTCTAAAATATGTCATCCTAACCTTCTTCAGTTCATAGGAGCTACTACAGAGGGTAATCCAATCATCCTGACAGAGCTAATGCCAACCAGCCTAAGAAAGGAATTAGAGACTGGAGGACTGGCCTATCATGCTGTATTAAACATCAGTTTAGATGTAGCCTGTGCTCTCAATTACCTTCATCTCTTCAAGCCTCATCCTATACTACATAGAGATATCAGCAGTGCTGATGTACTCCTTCAGGGAACTGGGTTTGGATGGAGGGCTAAGGTATCTGATTATGGATCAGCTAATCTTCAGCCTCTCATTGGTAGGACCACTAATCCTGGTAATCCCGTCTATTCAGCACCTGAAGCAGCCAATCCAAGGGAACACTCTCCTTCAATGGATGTCTTCAGTTATGGTGTCCTCCTTCTAGAGATGATAACACGATGTATTCCTCTACCAGAAGAGAGAGTAGGTCTTATTGATGGTATTAGAAAAGCCTCGTTTAGGTCTCTTGTTCAACGCTGCCTGATAGTTGAGTATAGACACTGTCCAACAATGAATGATATTATAACTGAACTAAATGACACTATCTATTAGTTATTGAGATATTATTATTATTATCATATTTATTATTATTGTTGTTGTTGTTGCTGCAATTTTTAACGACCTGGGGGCGT